TATATATATATATATATATATATATATATATATATATATATATATATATATATATATATATATATATATGTATTATTGCGTATAAATAGCATATAAAATGTATTATTAAATATTGTATAATTAATAGATTCAATAATACATATATATGTATTATTGAATTTAATTATGCAATATTTGTATAATTATAATTATATAATATTATTACCCGCTAAAAACTACGACTTTTGTTAACTTGTGTCTAAAAAAATCTGTTTGTTTAGACATTGTAATGCATTTACTTTCATAAAATAATTTTATTTGAAAATAAAATATTATTATTAATTTAATTAATATATATTTGTGGTTCTCTAATATGTTCAGTTCTTTTACATGTATGTAAAAATTAACAAATATCAAACATTGAATTCTTAAACGTATAAATTTGCTACTATACGTGAGTTCACAATATGTCTTCGAAATACTGGGATTCGCTACTTATTCCTTGGAGGCGCTCTTCATGATTACAGCGTGAGAATGCCAACTGGTCCATACTTGTATAGTCAAAGCATCGTACGGTGTGAGTTGCGAGATCGACCGATTGCCCTGAACCTCTTGCGCCAGCATTTTCTTGACGGACCGTAAATACGTATATTTTTGGTTTCAAAATGATTTTGTCTTTCTCGATGCAGTTTGGAATGTGGCCGATGGTTAATAATGATTAATAAAAAAATCAGTCCCCTCATTGGATCATCGGCTGCGTTTCAAATTGCATCGGAAAGAAGTCCTCATATTGAAACCAAGATTGTATACATAGAATGCGAAGTATGCGAAGACATATTTAAGTACACATTCGAAAGGAACGGAAATACCCGAACAGAAAGGAAGATATGCAGGATGTATATATTCCTTTCCAGAATAACCTTCGAAGCTCTCGTGGAGACATAGTACGGATTAAGATAAATATAAAAGTTATGTACCAATGTTCGCAATAATTATCGAGATATAAATTAAAGAAGAATTATGAATGATTACGCAAGATATGGTAGATGAGCTGTAGTGGCAACATCTGTCATTGTGTGCTCGTACATTAAGTCAAACTGAACAAAAAAGTTTTATACATTTCTCCTAATAGCTTGTAGATTTTTAATTATTAATTAGATAACATTAATATATTATCACACCAGCGATCATTCGCCAATCTTTAATTAAATAATTAAAATCTTCTTTAATTAAAAAATCTACAAAGTTATCGACGAAACTCTCTATTCTTATACATTACAAGATTGGATAAAGTGAGTATAAATCGAGTTTCGTCATTATGAAATAATAAGATTAAGTCAATTTTGTGACAACGTGCATATTTAATTCATGGAAACAACATAACATCTAAAAGACGTTATTCCCACCCAAAAGACTAAGAGCCTTCTATATTTATCGTGATATCGGTTACTACATTCATCGCAACAATGATCGTAAAGTCGTAACTTGCTTGGCGTTATGACAGCCAATTTATAGATGTCAATGACTATAAACGGATTGAATATTCCGACCAAATTAGGAAGTTCATGCAAGTCTCGTAATACTTGGAGTAGTTCCATTATACAGCATCACGCATCGCCCGCCGTTGCCAAGAGATTATCAATGCAATAGTTTCTTGTACACCAAAAAATTCGATTAACATTCGATTAAATCCCTTAGAGTAGAGTAACACTTAGACCGAGACATAACTGCAAATTCTGGAATTTTATTCTTGATAGCTTCGAAACTCTTGCCTATGATCAACTGTTGTCGAAATAGCATCCACAGTAAGGTTACAAATTTATCTATTGATGACAAGTACGACATAATTTTGCGAAAATGATCATCTATTCATCTACAGCACTAATTTACATCAAAAAATCGTTGTTTGATTTTTCGCAAAAATTTTTGATTGAATTCATTCATAAATGAACGAAGAAGATACCAACTAATATTCCTTCTTAAGTGTTGTGTTATGTATCCGTGAAATTCAAGATGTCCTGAATGATGCATTTTTGTACATTGCTGCAATAAACCCAATCACTAGTAGTACTAATCACATGATATCAAATTATCTTCTTTTGTTTTTTGTAAATATAACAAATGTTTGGATAAAAGAAATTGTTTGGATAAAAATAATTGTCAAGATTGAATAACTAATAATTCTAACACGGAAGGCGCTTTTCTTGTTCACGTTGCAGATGTTCACGTCAATATTTTTTTGCCTAAAGATACTTTCGTAAAATCCAATTTGAATATAATACACATGTGAAATATGGTACCTCAGAAACAAGAGAACTTCCCTTGCATGATTCAAACTGAAGAGATCGGATCTAATTGATCTAATCTTGCTTGTTTATCGTAAGCCCTGAAAGTAATACACTCATGTGCTTGGGTGTGTGTGTGTGTATGTGTGTAACATCTTAAAAAATTAATTTAAAATTTATTAAATCACTTATCCTAAAATCACTTATCCTATCACTTATAAATCATTGTTCTCTATTTCCTTTAACTTTCAATGCGGTTTCCGTGTATAATTTGGAGGGTGCGAGTGAACGTAAATTAGAATGAAACTACACTCGTAGGTCCAAAAAGCGCTTGGCGTTGCTGTCAGAGTTAAACCAGTCCGTCTCTCTCGAATTCGCGTGTGCCGTTGTTTGCCCGACGCGTGAGAACTCGAGACGCGGACCAACCAACCCCCGGCGATAAGATACGGCCTCGAGATGAGAACGCGATGTATCACACATCGAACGCGCGCGTCCTCCTCTCGTCGTCTATTCTCTCACCTAGTTGTGAACCAACAAAGCTTCCGAGCTGACACAATGGGGCCGCCGCGCGGTGCGGCACTTACACGGCGGACTGGAACAAAGTAGCGTGACACTTTCAGTAACAGAAGCGTCATCGGACAGAGATACGTCGGAATGTCGGCGCGCTGGCGCTGTCTATCTGTCCTCAGCAGACAATACGAGATCCGAGGACAGACGTGGCCGAACCGCGCCCCTTTCATGTACTGCTGATTGATACCCTCGGTCCTGTCCGCCGTGGGGATGCGACGGTAATGTCGCCCTCGTTGCCAGTCGCGTACGGCCACATTATCAACGCCAGGCCCGAGAGAGAGAGATGTGCCGATTAACCGAGCGCGACACCGCCGAAAATGTCGAATCGCGTCGATTCGTCGTTTCGACGCTGCCGCCGAAGTAGAGGCGTAAAGGTATAAGTACAGCCGCCATTATCGTGTGGAGCGGAACGCTCCGTTGTGTCATACATCGGCGAATTGACGTGCACATCGGACGTTGTTACACGTCGTAATCGGTTTGATTAGTACAGTCGAGAGCGAAACGGTTTGATCACTTCTTCTCCAGTGAAGTTAGTAACTCATCTAGTTATCACACTTGAGGCTCATTCCTCACGGACTTGCGCGATAATCGGACGACAGAAGCCGAAATGACAATACGTGGTGCGAAAGTAAATTTTATCAAGGCAACGTGAAAACATGTTAATATGTTCCAGTTGTAATAGTGTTCAAAGAACTGAAAAATCTTGTGCTTCAAATATAAGGAACATCTGACGGCACAACCTAAACTGGAAATTCAGGAAAAATGTAAGTATGAATATATACAAAAGAGAGAAAGAGAACGCTCAGCTTACTTTATATTTACATTTTTTTTGTATTTGCAATATCCGACTACTTTGACACTTGCTTAATGTGCTTCAAATATAAGTGTTACGTAAATTGATATCATACGTCAAACAAAATATTCCACCATGAGTTATTTTTCTAAAGTAATTGATGTGAACAAATTGTGTTTACGTGATAATTATAATAGCTTCTTTCATGACAACATGTACAACGTCTGCAAGAAAGTAAACAATGGATATTTTATATCATGTAATCATATTTTATATCATATGTAATATGATCTTTTATTGCAACCGTCACCACAGGTTGTTACACCGTCCTCAACATTTGCAGATTTGTGAATATATAAATAGATTTTTACAAGAAAATAAACTACGCCGAAACTGTGCTTAAGTTTAACTAATTGGATCCAGTTAAGACAACAATTTCTAAGCGCAATTAAGAAATTGACTCTACGTAAACTAAAGCCGTATGAAGAACAGATGACTTTTTGCAAAATCATGCTCTATTTGTCATAGACATTGCAGAATGTGTTATTCGGACTACTATTGCAGTGACCATATTTCAAGGTTTGCATTAGTCAAAATGCCAACAGTTTGTATTATATACCAACATTAATATCGAGGCTATTTCATGCGAATTCACTGTATTAAAATTCACTAAATTTTGTCGGACAGAACATACTAATGACATGAATATATTTATTACAACATATTTGTGTTCCGCACGAAATACCATTATAGAGGCAATGAATTCTAAATATTTCTACTGTGATTATGTATCAGGACATTCTGCTATGGAATGAAGAACGCTGGTACAACCACTATTACGATCCATTCTCGACTCAAACATATTTCAATATAAATATGTTATTCACGTGATAGTGCTAAATGTCTTAGAAAGGGAATATTTAAATGCTTGGGACATATTTTTACATCTCATAAGTTTCATAAAGGATCTAACAATTGTACTGGTAGGACCAAATTTTGAGCAGGATTATTAGAACCTAGAACTTTGTAATCGATGCAGGCGCAAGAAGTTAATATTTCATGTTGAAATTTATAATACATTTTACCATATGTATGTAGCCGATCCGTCTCTTAAACAACCTGATATAATTATGGAATTTCAAGCAGATTTTAGTAATGAGTGGACATGTTCGCGGAGCATATTTTTATCACTGATTAGACACTATCCGTTGATTTTAACCATTACATCGGCACAAAAAGCAGAACAAAACATGTTTATTTTAAGATAAATTTTAGGTTCTCATATATAACCTCTCCATAATGCTCAAAATCTTTTTAGATCTTGGAGGCCATGAAGGGATTTGGAAACTTGTTCTGTATATTTTCGTAATAATTATGTAACTGTTTATTGTAACACATCTATTTTATGGAGACTTAACTAAACGATCTGGAAAATTTGTATACGATTTTAGCATTACGTTGATAACATTTCTATATATAATATACAAGATGTGTTGTTTGTATAAACGAATAATGAATATTTTTAATAAAAGACACTTTTCATTATACTTGCGATGTTTTTTATTTAATAATCACTCATAATAATAAACGAATATATTAGATACATGGAGACTTCTTAAAATAATACGTTTAATTTGATTATAAAAATAACAGGTAAAAAATGTGATTTTAAAAATAGGTTGCATATATGCAAAAATATGGAAGTCCCAGAATGACAAGGTGAGCCCTTATCCCTTTACCTCCCCAAACGGTATATTTTGTTTACATTGGCAATATTGACAACAAGTATATGGTTTCAAGTCTTCATGGCTAATGGAATAGGAATTCTGGGTCATATATAAGAAAAAGAAGAAGGTTTCAAGTCTTCGCTAGCTTTAATTGATTTTTCATCTTGGTTCTTAAAAAGTCATACCTCTCTCCTTTGTGAACTCTCGCAGGAAGTAGCAGCAGCTTTAGCTTATGTTGATATAATCGTAATTTTACAGCGAAAATCTAAAGTTTAGATTTTGATGGCAAGAACTGACGGAAATGCCGAAAAAAGTTATAGCCGTATCACAGCTTGTAATTAACGTTCTAGAAATCGAATCTTGTCATTGTCGTGTTAAATTGCACATTTAAATACACTCACGCATGCTGATAAAGTATAATTGTTCCTCGTTGTTGTCTGTCATTATCATCGTGATGGCGCGATTTCAGCATGTCATTGTGTAATCACGCTTACAGTCGTCTGATAAACTACCCAGACAACATAATGTCTAAAATCGAGACATAAGACGTTTTAAAGATCATCTTTCAGATGATTTACGTATAAATGTCTTTAAGGCATCTTAAAGATTATCTTTAAGCCGTCTTATATCCCGATTTTAGACATTATTTTGTCTGAATAATATCATGTTACAATATTCGGTATGTTAATATAGAAGAGTGTTGTGACTATCTCAATATTATAATTTCTTATATTTAATGCTCTTTACGTAAGTAAAGACACACTTTTCTATATTTCGTCTTTTCATGTGAATAGATTAGTGAAAAATATATTTACTAATACATGACAACATATTTATGATAACCTTAAGTATATATCGTAGTGACCAGTTTAACTTATATATATAAATTAGAAATACATATGCATACTACTATATCTTAATTACGTGAAGAACTCAATTACATTATTCGTATAAAAATTCATTTTTATTTTAAAATATATGACGAAGTTTTCTTCTTATTTTAAAATAGTATTGCAATCTATCGTTAATATTTTTATTCGTTGTCAATGTTAATCAATAAACGCTGGATATTTTTATGAAATAATGCACACGCTTGCTGAACAATAGTTATATTACGGGAGAACACACGGATCATAATGAAATATACAAAGTTTAATGCGATTTTCACTCTAGAAAAGTTTTATATATTTTAATCATAAGTTAAAACTCGAGAAAGATTCGGCCGGTTCGGAAAGAGTATACTTGGTAGTATAATATTTTCCAAAGCATTTCTCATTTAGAATATAAAATATTGTGAAATGGATTTATTCTATTAACTACCTTTATGAAATATTACATTTTTCGTAGAATATTTTTATATAATTTGATAGAATAATATATAATTTCCCGTAGAATATTTTTATAAAATTTGATAGAATAATATATAATTTGATAGAATAATATATAATTTCCCGAG